GAAGGTCCAGTTCCCACTAAATATTTTGATAAAACTACCCAAGTTCTAAATACTGTTGATGGAAGTCGATTAATGATTAATTATAAATTATCTGATACTGTTGTATGTAACAATGGGAGTTGTTTTCCTACACCCTTTATAATGGTCAATGGACTAAGTCAGGCAGTTATTCTAGGAACACCATTTTTAAGTTTACTTTATCCAATAACCATAGATATCACTGTAATAGAAACAATGATACATGGACATAAAATAAAATTTGAATTTATAGATAAGAAAAAAATTAAAGAAATAAATAATGTAAAAAAATACAATAATAAACAAAGAAAAGAAAAATTTCTTTGTCACCTTAAGACAGAAATAAAATATAAACAAGTAGAAGAAATTTTATTGCTTCCAAAAAGTAAAGAAAAAATTCAGAAAATAAAAACTCAAATCGAAAACGAATTATGCAGTGAATTACCCAATGTTTTTTGGGAAAGAAAAAAATACATGGTAAGTCTACCATATGAACCAGATTTCACTGAAAATAAAATTCTTACTAAAGCAAGGCCAATACAAATGAATGCAAGCTTATTAGAATATTGCAAAAATGAAATAGATGAATTAGTAAACAAAGGATTAATAAGAAAAAGTGCATCCCCTTGGAGCTATGCTCCATTTTATGTAACTAAAAATGAAGAAAGAGAAAGATGAGTTCCGAGATTAGTAATAAATTATAAACCATTAAATAAAGTACTTCTATGGATAATATATCTCATACCAAATAAAAAAGATCTATTAGATAGATTAATAAATGCTTGTATATTCTCCAAGTTTGACTTGAAATCTGGATACTGGCAAATCCAGATAAAAGAAGAAGATAAATATAAAACTGCATTTAATGTACCATTTGGCCAATATGAATGGAACGTTATGCCATTTGGGCTTAAAAATACCCCATCAGAGTTTCAAAAAATTATGAACGATGTATTTAATTCGTATTTCAAATTCATGATAGTATATATAGATGTTGTGTTAATTTTCTCCGAAACTATAGATCAACATTTTTAAACATCTAAATATTTTTATCAATGCAGTTAAACATGCAGGATTAGTTATATCTTTAAAGAAAATACAGTTATGTGAAACTAAAATTAGGTTTTTAGGACATAATATACATCAAGAAACAATTATCCCAATAGAAAGAGCAATACAATTTGTTGATAAATTCCCTGATGTTATTCTAGATAAAAAAGAACTACAAAGATTTTTAGGATGTTTGAATTACATAGCTGATTTTTATGAAAACTTAGCAATTGAAGCAAAACCCCTTATATGATAGATTAAAAAAAAACCCTCCTAAATGGACAAAAGAACACACTTTAATTGTCAAACGCCTTCAACTTAAAGCAAAAGAATTACTATTACTATTATTATTACTATTATTATTACTATTATTATTACTATTACTATTATTATTACTATTATTATTATTATTACTATTACTATTATTA